GCGAGCCACAGCCACGTTTTTATAAATGGTTCTTAAATTTTCGCAGTTACCGTAATATCTTTATAACAACGATTTCGTGGCTTTTTGCGGCCACGTATGCGAGCACGGACCCGATGATGGTCGGTTGGACGAGAGGAGAATAACGGTGGAAGGAAAAGGGAGGGCACCACAGGGATAGATCGAGAACGCGCGAGGGTGAAGAAGGCAAGTCGAGGGTGAGAGCAAGGGCGAAAAGGAGAGGGAGAGGGCGGAGGGAGGCAAAAGGGCCGGAGGGGCATCTATCTATCAGCGGCGGCGTGAAGTGGGCGGGAGCATGCGCCGTATTGCCCCGTACGGCCGCTCTCTCATTAACTCCGGACGCCGCCAGAGCCGCATCCGTGCAGCCGAACACGACTGCCGTAACCGCCGTGCCACTCCGCTCCGTACCGCTTCGCGTCGCTCCGTACCGCTCCGCGCCGATCGATCCTTTTCTTCGATCTTACACGCCCTTTGTTATCGAACTATTCGGAGATCCGCTCGTTTCCACGGGATTTCCTCTCGCGCCGAAACTCTCCGTCTCTGTCTCGAACGACGAGAAAACGCGAGGGAAAACGTTCTTATTCCGATTTCTCCGAGAGATTTCTCGGGAGATATCGACGCGTAGTCCGAGTCTCGTCGCGATAGAATGACGACGCAAGATTTTTCGTGATCTCGGTTAGGCAGGTGCTGATTTGAGGAGGGTCGCGTTAGACCCCGGCCAGTGATTTCGAAACGATCGCCTCCTCCAAACTGCCGTGTCATTAAAGTGGTCGATCAGCGAGCGCGAGGTCGCGTCAACTTCTCGACCTCTCTCGTTCCCGTGTTTCGTGAAACGACGATCCCTCGCCCTCGTCTTCTCTCGTTTCTTCGGTTTGACGTTTCACGAAAAACTTTTGAAACGCTCGGAACACGCCCATGGTTTCTCGGAAGCGCGTCCAACGTCGCGTCGAACGCATTAGCCGAGAGAAGGACTTTCCGCTTGAGCCTCGACACGCCTCCGATTTGCACGTGATTACCGGTCAACCGAACCGACACCGCGTTGCTTTCGAGAGAATGCTCTTCGGCTAAATATCTCGTGACTAGAACGCATCTTCCGAACCGAATTAAACGCGTACTGTCGCGACAGAAAAATATTTCTCTTACGTGTTCGCGATTTGATCGTTTCCGGAATTTCCGGTTTTCCGATATTCTCTCCTTAAGACCGCTTACTCGTTGGACGATTCTAGCAGCCGATATAGAAAAATCGATCCGATTTAAAATTACAACCAAGATTCGACGCGATAGTCGTTTAGGCGTCGACGCAAGGGGGCTTAATTAGATCGGCACAGTTCCGACGGTACTAAAATCTTTTACTTATTGCTCCATTACGTGCGGACAAATTATTTAATCGCATCGCTTGCACGATCCCCGAAAGCAGGTGTTTCGCAGACCGCGCGATGGCTCGACTCGAGGGAAAAAAATAAATAAATACGTACCCTTACACGCGTGCACGAGCAGCCAAAGGAACACGTTCCGAGCTCGATATCGTTTTCGCGAGGCAAAAGCATCGGAGGAAGACGACTTTATTGAGTAGCCGTTATCGATTCTCCGGGCAACGCACACGGCCACGCGCGTCCTCTCCATACGCCAGCATTTGCATAAAACCTTGAAGCGCGATCCGGATATCGACTGGGCCCGACACGGGTTAACGATACGGTGGGCGTATTTGCGGCCAAGTAGCCACCGTTTCTACTCGTTAATCGAACCTCCAACGATCGGATAATCGTCTCGAGAGAGACTCTCGATCGGGTGCTTGGCACGCGTACCGATTCCGAACCCGAACGATTCCGCGCGCGTCGCCGAGTTATACGGATCCTCCAGGGACACCTACTCGAGAGAAAAAGCGCCGTTTCACGAGTCTCGACTTTAGTAACTTCGTAACCTTTCTTCAAAAATAAGTCTGCGATCATTTTCTTAAAACGATTCGGTTAACTAGCTTAGAAAAGCGAAGAAGGTAGAACTCGAAGCCCGGTAGCGATCCCTCTATCTTTCGCGTAATGTTCGAACGTTTGTCGAACGGGATTATAGGAGCCGGAGTTATCGAGGATCAACACCCACTTTCCAGAGACGAAACGAGCCGTCAAAGTTTGTTCAACAATATCGGAAACATCTTGTAGAGTCTGATAAGGAAAGAACTTGTTCGCGTCCATCTGCCAAGATTAATCAAGTTATCGGGGCATTAGTCGTTGTCGTAAACGATAATCCTTTGACGGGGCGCGTGGAAAAAAATTCTTTTCTGTCACGCGTGTATCCGCCCTGCTCGTAAACGCGAAGGAAAAGGACGCGAGAGCAGGTGCATCGTCATTCACGTAGATAGACGATCGTGGATAAGTCGTCGGAATCGAGCGTTCGTGCGAGCAGGCTTATTCGAGATCGAAACAGTCTCCCTCTTTCCGTCCCTCGTACCTCGCTCTTTCTTTCCTTCGACATTTAGCGTTGTATAAATTTCCACTTTTAACGAGATCTAAAAGATCGCGCGATAATTCGGCCCGCGCTATGATTAAGGTGCCGACGTTATAATGGCGCGTAATGATCGAGGCCCCGACCGAACTGCCACAACACGCCGCTACGAAGTATCGCTCGTGGTACGCGCATCGAAACACACCGTGAAACGAATCGATCCTAACGCGCTTCATCGCCGAACAAACTCGCAACGTGTATTTTACCTACCTATCGAAATCCGTCAGTCTCGACGAGTCTCGGAAGCCTTTGGCGAACGGGTTACTGTCGATCTTCAGCTTGGTTATCTGCGAAATAATCGATACGTTCGTCCGTGGTTACGAAATCGTTACGAATCAGAGTTTCAAGGATTTCGCCGTCTACGATTAATGCCTTTCGAAGCTTTCGGATATTATTTCCGTTTTCGATGCGTCGATTAACCGTTGCTCTCTCGCGACCGAAATCTTCCAACGGTATTAATCTCCAACGGCAGCTAACTTCGTCGTACTCACCAGCTGATTCTGATAGGCAGTCACCGCGGTAAAAATAGCCTCGGGAAATATAAAGGTCTTGTGCTCTTCCTTCTGGAGATCGGTTATGTGAAGATTATTGTCGTCCGTGTGTCGGCAACGAACCAAATGTATCCTGGGTTGATATCTGTGCATCGAGTTCAGTACGATCTGAAAACAGACACGAACAAGCTTACGATCGATGGACAATTTATGGAATCTTAATTTATCGCTACTCGCCCGATAACATAGGCGATCACGGAAACGAAACTATAAAGAACACCTTACTCGCCGCAGTCGTCGGTTCGGCAACAGGTTAACGTTTTGACCGTCGCGGCAAACGCGTTAAAGCAACGCGTACATTTATTAAACTCGTCGAGAAGAAAATTTACCGATCAGAAAGACGTTAATGTATCTTTGCGAAACATATAATTTGAAAGTTTCCGCGTCGAGTCTCTATTATTTGTATCGCAGCGAGCTCGAACGCGGGGATGCTATAATCGATGAGACCGGAACAGAAGTCGCGTATCGATTTTCTGTCTGAGACAATGTAGCACGATGAAGCAAATTTCTGTCGCGTCGAGCTCGTGCGAACGCTCCGAATACTTGGATCGTTTGCGCGTCGATATCGCGACTTTAGCGCGAAAGTGACGCAAATTTTCTACTTCTAGGTGAAGCGTCAACCTTTTCCGCGCAAACTTCTCGATCGTTTACGTGGACAAGTACGCGTTCGATCGATATATCTACGGTCGCGAATCTAAATCGTATACCTTCCATGGTTGCTCCGTTTCCATCGCTCACTGTCTCGCTGTGGCATTGATACTTTCAGGAACAAACTTCTTAAACGACGTAAAAACAACTATTTCCATACTGAAAACATCAAGCGCGAAACAATGAATGCGTATCGCGTTACTATTTTCCGCTGATTTCATTTTCTCGTTGATAAATAAATTCGAGGGGACGCTAAAGGACCGCTCACGCGACAAACTCTGCAATTCGGGTCTCGGAGCTCGGAAAACGGGGGCGTGCGCGAAACCGCGTTTCACACCTACAGACACGCTCACGATCGCGATGTCCACCTGATAAACCTGTCGCGAACGTATCCGATCGAATAACTTATTTCGTTGTCCGTGAACCACGATGGCTTACGTATCGCGAGCCAAATATTACGAGAAGCGAAGAAACTGATCGTTTTTAAAATATTTTAATTCGGAAATTAGTAGCCGACTTGCCAGATAGCCGGTTATTAACGCGAGGAACGAAGAGAGCACGAATGTCTACATACTTGGTGAAAATTCGTTACCGTTATTAAACCCAAAGGTCGTTAGGAGACCTACGGCAGCGCGCATCCTTGAAACGCGTTATTAAATGGGATTTTTATTAGCGACAAGATTATCGCTGATAATATATCTCCGATATCTGCGGCTGGCATCGCGCGCGTTAACACGCTGGAAGACATTCGCCGACACGAATATACCGGCGTGCCGTTGTACGAAAGGAAAAAGAAAAAACCGGGAAAAAAAGAGGAAATTGCGCTACAACCTGTCCCCAATCGCGTGAAGCGAAACTCGTCGTTATCGCGTTATTCGATAATTAACTAAACGTCTCAATTTTTCGTAAACGAGCCTGGACATCGAACAACCGTACGCGTGTCTTCCGCGGAGCGTGACTCGATCGTATTCAACTTTATTAAGCTAACTTACAACTCTATCTATCTCTTTCCCCCACTTACGAAAATTTATTCTCGTTATTGTTACGATCACGCTATCTTCGCTATCGAAAAGAGCGCACAAATCGTAATTGTAAGAGACTAGAGACATCCTGTGCACGTTTCGAGACGAAACCAAATTATACCTACATATATATGTAGAATAATATTTAATAATTAGAAAGATTTATGAAATTTATTAACAAAGTATGACTGGTTATAATTAATTAAATGCAACACAAATGAAACCTCACGAATTAGCAAATTTCTCATGTCTCTATCTCACGAAGCAATGCCCTCTTTTCTCCCAAAACATTCGATCACACCAAAAAGACGATCTTACAATCTTCTAGCAACCTTCATTGCATGCAAAAACTTCAATCATACCATACGCAAGCTTCGTTCATATTATGCAACCATGTCGATCATACAATTACATAGTACATACATACACACATACCATACAATTATATAGTACATACACACACACATACTACATATATTATATACTTCTGGTTATGGGCATATCGAGAAATTTGATGTAACTCGAATAATCGCCAGGGTTCGTCGATCGGCCTTTGATATTAAGACCGTGAGTCCCAAGGTCCTACGAGTCCTATCGAGTTTTCGAAAAATTTTCTGTCCGATTGGTTGTTGACGGAGTATAGGAATTTTCGCGACAGCCATAGTATAGGTGGTAATATCGCGTAGAACGTGGCAGAGTCGAGAAATCGAAGCCAATCCAGTCTCATCGTCGGACGTTGGCAATTTGCATCTGGCGATTTATCAAACAACGCGGCGTCCATGTAATACACGTTGATAGCAGTATTACACACGGGATTTATAGTCGTTTTTCTTCTTTCGTGAACTCGCTCCGATAGTTCTCGATCGAACGAACCTTCCTTCTTCTTCCATGGCCTGGATCTCCCCCGGATGGAAATGTCCCCGGAACGCTTTTGTTACTTAATCCGGCTACACCGTCGACCGCTCGTTTCTCGCTCGTAATTTATTTTTATAACGCGAGATTATACCATGAAATTAATATCCCGATACGTTGCTGGCCACGAAGCGTTTCCTCCTCTTTCGTAACGCTCCTTTACCGCGAGTATTTATCGTTACCGTTATGCTTGTTCTTACGCGACGAATTATTATATCGTTCCCCTTGTTTTTCGCGACTTTACCCGTAGAGCCGTTGCGAGAACACGCTTTAGGTACGCTCGCTGAACGATCGAGGCGAAACGTTTCGCCAACTAGAATCGCGTTGTTCATCTTCGAGTATACTTTCTCGAAGTGGTCGCAACTTCGTAAGAAAGTTTCGGTCGTCGAATCGTTAACGCGATCACAGTTCCACGATCTGGTCGAGAGGAGCGATGCATCGTCCGATCCGTAGCGAACGTTCTTTTCACCGGAGCATGGAATTTCGTGAATCGTCCTTTGGTCGAAAGAGAGTGCGAGACGACGCGATTACGCAACGCGCCTTATAAATATTTCATTGGTCCATCGTGGCACGACGACGCAAGGACAAATTTGGATTAGGATTCGTATAGGGTGCAGCAGCGTGTAAAATTTTCTTCTCTCGTCTCGAGGAGAGAGAGGCAAAAGTGACGAATTTAATCCGAGTCTGGATAACGAGTACGCGGGGTCCCGTGGACCGGACCGTAGCTTTCCAAGCGGGCAACTTTATGCCCGTACGATTATAGGTGTCTGGGATCCCGGGGTGCCCCTATCCGTTTTCTCTGCGCCGTTGGATGGTGGGACACCCCACTGCAACCTGTCAGAACTCCAATTTGCTCTACTCTGTTCGGTTCCTGCGTGTAGATGCCACCGTACACACACGAGCACAACACCGTTCACCGTGATCCACTCGTAAACGCGTGTTAGATGATACACCGTATCCTCTTCGGCCGTTACTTTTTTACCTCGATTACGTTGAGTAATTTATCCCAAACCGTCGAGCTTCTTAGGCTATCATCCTCGAGAACAGGCTCGAACTTTCTTTTTACTCGAAACGGTAGCTTTTTTCCTTCGTCGCTCGTCGCGTTCACGCTCGCCGGAGTAATATTACATTTTCGAAAGTCGCAGTTAACGCTTCGTGTCGCGTATTCGTGACTCCGTTCCGTTTCTGCATAACGTACCAGTTATCGATCGCGATTTTACGATTAATAATTTCGCGGCGTGCATTAACGAAACATGCTACATAATATTTCGTGTCATTAGCCTGCCGTAATCAACGAATTCGTTCGATCCGCGAGAGGATCTCGCGTACGAACGCGACGAATCGTCGTAAATTAAACTCGCGTAACGCAATGCGCGAGGATGAAATAGCGCATCTGCATAACTTTTCGTTTAATTGATCGACCCTTCCACGGTCGCGACTCGCTCAGGTATTTCTACAGGAAACCTAATACTTGGCGTGACGAGCAAAAGGAGATTCCTCGCGAGATCGTGAGAAACATCATTTTCCTGCTGGCTTCGTTTCGGATTCAACGAGCTCCTACGGAAAATCCTGTTGCTCCTTTCGATTAAAAAGTCCCTTCATCGTCGCACTCCGAACCGATTCCTCGGGAAAGACACTCGACTCGACGTACGGGACAAACTATAACGATATCGCTTTATTAGCGCTAACAACGTGTAAAATCTACACTGGCGTTTTCTTTGAATAAACATCATTATTTAAATAAAATCAAGTAGCGCCGTCACGCATGAGTTTTACAGGCGTTAACCTTGTGATTTATAACTTCGAATCGGAGTCGTACCATAGGTAGCAGTCTACTAATTAGTTATCGTCGTGTTTCAATTTGTGTAACTATTAGACAAGATAATCTATAGTACCAATGATAAATATGTATCCTTTTTTCGAAACTTGAAAGTCGTATATAATTTGTCGAACAAGATTACGTAATCGATTTGCTGCTTAGCTACGCGCGAAAAAATCATAATGCAAAGCGTTAAAAGCGTGAACGAAAGAGCGAAACGTACTCGAGCACGAGCGACGTCCACGGTTTCGGAAGAATTTCCGTGGAAAATCGCGTTGTCCGAAAACCGTTTAAACGATTCATTTTCGATAGAGCAATAACGAGCGAGTAATTATACTTTCGTCGAACCGATCCGAGTTAGTCGCGGCTCGCTCTCTGCGCTCGTGTTTATTCAATTACACCGTAAATCCCGATCGAGTATTCGCCGTCTCTCTTTCGAACGTATCATAAATCGCGTTTAATCTCGATGTTATGGCTGACTAAAGCTTCCTGGCATCTCAGGCGCTACAAGTGCGCCGCGTTAAGAAATTATTAATATCCATTGATTCCAACATTCCCTCCTCGCGTACCCGTACAGCGTCGTTCAATATTTTTTCCGGCTAGAAGGTGAGAAGAGTCGCGACTACGAAAAACACTCGAGGCCGTTTTATTCGGTCGTCCGTTCTCGAGCGAAGGATCGACGGACAAAACGGAAGGACGCGTGAATTAAACGCGGTTCGAGTTGACGTTGCGTCGAAATTGTGGGAGAGGAACAGGGTTCCGAGGGTAATTTAGATTTAAACGAGAGAGAAACGTCGGTAGATCGGAAATTCCAGACGCGAGGATCCGGCGAGAGCGCGAGAAACGCGCCTCCCCGCAGCTATCTCGTAGAGAAGAGAAGGGTCGCGGTCGCAGGTGGATGCTCGCTTTTGGACCACCGTGTAGTAGCCAGCACGCAGGCGGGGGTCTTATAATATCGCGTCATACGAAACGATGAAATAGTGGCCGTAGCGAAGGAATGTTCCCTACCACTTGAGTCGTCGAGTTGAGTTGACTGGCGTTGCGTGGCTCTCCCGGTCTCTCCCGGCACTGCTCCGCTCCCCGCGACTGCTTTTAACCGGTGTGTCTGTTCCTCGACGCTTGGCTGCCTAGCTCTTTCTTTCTTTCTTTCTTTCTTTCTTTCCTTCCTTCCTTCCTTCTTTCTTTCATCCGAACCTTCTTCTGTCCCTCGTGTTTCCTCTCGTGCAAGCTTTACGTGTATGTTCATCTACGTGAGTCTATCTTTTGCACGGCAATGTTTCATTCCACAAACGCGTTCCTACAAATCTACCTTCATCACGGTTGCGCGGAGAAACTGACTGTTCGAAATTCTACTACTCGTGTTCTAAACGCGAAGCGTCCAAGCTTATTAACGAGCTGTAAATTTTACGGCGACCGCGTTAAAAAATCCTTTCAGCGCCGATACAGTTCGAAAGTCGATCAGATCGAGTTAGTTTCGTTCCGAGGTAGAACGGTTTTCGGATTCGTCGCGAGCGTCGATATCGCGATACCAACGAGATAGCGAACGAAAGAGCTAAAGGTGCGCGGAGGAAAGAAACCGTGCGAGAATCTCGAGGCGAGGAAGGAGCAGCGCGAGAGACGGGAACAGGCTGCGTGGAGAGAGATTCAAAAGGTGCTCAACGGGCCAGGCGTGGGCTACTCGTGATCATCATGACAAAAGCTCCAGGCAAACATCCATTCAATTTATTAGCTTATAGGCACGCCGTCGTGCCTACTATACGCACCACCTACGACACCACCACCAACCGCCTATAATGCTCGTAACATTATGGCCAGTCCGCGAGTGGACGGTTCGCGCGACCCTCGTTCGCCTCTCTTTCTCGCCCTTTATCTTCCCTTTCTCTCTCTTTCTCCGCTCTTTTCCCCCGTTACTCTCTTTTCGCCATACAGTTACACTTTTTACGGCGTTAACTTCTTACGGCTACGATATTTCAGCGAACGAGAAAGAAACGGACTCGATTCTATTTCGATCGCGTTCCGGATTCTCCCGGAGAATTCCAAAGATTCGCGGCAAACAATTTTTTTTCTTTTCGAACACGCGATCGAGACCGCTGCTTCTCTATGGATTTATTCGCGAAAGAGATGGAGGTGGTCCAACTACCGGATAATCTCTAATAAAATTCTATACCATTATACGGTCAGCCTATGATTAATCCCTGTCCAGTACGTAGCGCGGTACGTCTGCCGTTTCTTTAGGAGTACTCGACGTAGTAGGTCGCAGGACGAATGTAACGCGAGACGAATATAAAATTCATGCTGGATAGTAATTAAGCGGCAAAGAGAAGGGAGCGAGGAGGACAGCGAGGGCAAAGGGAAAGGTTTAGCACGCGCGCGGAAAGATTGGTTCGTCATCGATCGGTCGACGCGACGATGGAATATTACGTTTCACGGGCTGGCAGCTTCGACGCCCACGATTAACGAGCAACGTTGATGATAACCACGCCTACGTGACTCGGTAACGTCGCGTATCCGTTTTACGAGGCCATTTTCGGTGCGCGCGAACGTCCGAAATCTCGTCGTCAACGACGTCTTCGATGCCTCGAAGGAGAGCGAAACTGCTCGATTCCGCTCGGTGAAAAACGACACTGTAATCCGTGAGCATTGTCCACGTCGTTGGCACCGGTCGTTCGTTAAATCGGCCGCCTTATATTCGAGAAACTTACGCGCTTTCCGGCCAAATGACACCTCTACACGACCAAACTCGCGAATCTGTGAATTTACCGATAAATAACCCTCGAATATATCGTTTCTCGCTAAACATCCTTCGAATCTCCATCGATTCCTCTGTCCTCTCTACGCTTTCTTCGAATTTCGACGGGTTTACGTCGTTTCTCGCGACTCATTAATTCCGACGCTTTTCCAAATAACATCGCTACCCGCGTATCTACGTATCTTGGAGGAAATAATTTTCTTCTATTCTCGTTGCCAGGTTGTCGAGCCGATCGGTAGCGAATAACGCGTTAAACGTTGCTCGTTCGTCGAAACGAAAACGAGCATACCGTTGTCCCCGTGATCGATATTTGACCCTTTGTGCTCCAGTTTACGAGGGTGCTACACGAACGAGCGACCGAGCGAACGATTAACCACGAGATTTCTTACCTGACCGTGTTTGTCCATGTCGTTGTTCGTCAGCTTGACCTTCTCGAACGAGACCACCTGCTTTCGAAGCTGATCCCCGGTGAACGGCGAATCCGGGTGGACGTAGAGCCTCGCTGGCGCCGGAGGATCCGCTTTACCGGCTACCAGCCAACAGCTTCGATGATACGCGTATCGGTATCGTTTGTTGTCCACGGGAACGATGTCCATCAGCACCGCGTACCTGCCTTCCGACTTCAGTCCGCTAAACGACACTCGGCAGGTGGGGAACATTCGCCTGAAACGCCAATCTCTCGTAAGATAAAACGAATCGAGTATAACTTACGAAGAAGAGACGACGCTCGGACGTTGTACGGACAGAGGCGCGAAAACGACGTGATCTAGTACGCGAGACGAAAAGTTCGAGGCTGTCGTCGTTTTTGTTTTTACCGAACGGATAGAAAATTTGACGTATAACCTGAACGAAATCTATTGTATCGGAATGAGAGCGTCGCGAAGCTGACGAAGCGTTTGGACACGTTCGAGGCAGAAAAGAGCGGAAATGCGAGCAAAGTAGAAACGGGGTTCGAAAGATTCTTGGAACGAGCGTGTTTTCGTCGAATCCGTGGTGAGTCGAGTTCGAATCCGAGGCAGAGGCGCGTCTAACTAGCCAGCTTGATTGAAAGGAGCGCCCGCAGGCCTTTCAAGCTTCGTTACGAGCGAGTCACCCTTGAACCTCGTTATATGCAGTCAACTTTTCAACACCTTCGGCGTCGAGGCGCACGCGCCGCGCATATGCGCCCTTCCGTTGACGTCAACGTGTCCGAGAACACCGACTTCGTTACGGCTTCGAGACTCCGCCAAGAACGACGAAGAAACTGTTTCTGAAAGAAAATAACTCTGCTAAAAATTGTTGAATTTCGCGCGCGACGAGAAATGAGTTTATCGCGACGATCCGAATGTCCAGGACCGTGCAATCCACGAAATAGAGGTTGTCGAAGAAACTGCGTTCAGAACGTCGCGTCGATCCTCGAGGAGCTTCCTCCCTGTATCCGGATGAGACTCTGCGAAGAGGATTTGTTCGCGGTCCTCGCGAAAAACGAGCAGACGGCCCCAACCCCGAGCAGCCCTCGAAACGTATCGACCACCGTCGACTACGCGTCTTCGATAGTTCACCCGACCTGGCTGTCCAACCAAACAACGAAACCCGGCAAGGACGACGCGATATCCGGAGCATCGCGTGGAAAAACGGACCAAGAGGAAAAACAGAGCGGAGAAGACCAGATCTCGATGATTGAAGACAAGGATACTCAGACGGAACCGACCGACATGGAAGCCGCTAAAACAACGATAGAGGCTAACGATACTATCGGAATGCGCGCATTGCCTCAGGCGAAGAACGCGATAGCGCGAGAAACGTGCGCGCCGAATTCGACTCGCGACTCGCCGTACGCTTGTCGTCGGATCAACACGACCGTGTACACGGCCATTTTGCTTCTGCTTGCCGTGTTCGCCTGGAACAGCCCCGCTTACCGGATCTTCTTGTCCAGTCAAATTTGCGGAATTCTCGTCGTGTTGAGTTGGAAAATCTCCGGATCCGTCCCTTTCTAACGCGAATTCGATCCGGTTTCTTTCTTCTTCCCCTTCGACATCGGCAAGCGGAGATAAACACAGCGTTCGCGACACGTTGAAAGTTACAAAGAGAAGAATCACGAGATAATTATACGGCCACCGAAGCGAAGACGCGACGAGCATACGATTCAGGTTGGTTAACAACGATCACGTTGAAAGCCACGAACGCAACAAATCGTGAGATCGGGTTCATTGAAAGACGCTCGGAACCGAGACCGCAAACTCCGCGATCGCTTCAAAGTCATCGACCGCAAGATTCACGGACGAACGAGCTTTCGATCTCTTCGCGATTCAACGACGCTACGATACGATACTGCTCGACGAGGAAACTCGTTTAACCCCTCTTCGAGGTTCAAGCAGCTCTCTCTCTCCGCGGTAGATTTCGACGAAACGCTACCTATTTTCGGATCTAGTTTCCGATCGAACAGCGAAGCGAGAGAAAAGAAATGTCTGGTAAGTAGCAAACACCGATCGTGACGCGATAAATCATCGAGGACATCGCCGTACCGAAGGGTCGTCTCCCCTCTTATCCGAGACACGAGCGGAAAATCTATTCGAACGACTATTAAGCATCGACTGTTCCCTCTTAAGGACGATCCTCTGTCGTCCTTAATTCGCGTTAGCCTCCTACCTAACCCTCGTTTATCTCGCGCGCGATATCGTTGTTATCTTTATCGAGAACCGATTTGTTCCCCATCGGCTCCCCCACGTCCGCTCGTTTTTTTCCCTAGCGAAATTCGAAAGATCGAAGCGTATCCGATATACCGAATAAACGAACCTCCGAGTGTTAATCCGAAACAACAGAGTCCTCCATCGAGTAAATTAACCGCGTAAATTAAAGCGGAATGACGGAGAAACGAAGCGAGACGCGATCAAACGCGGAGAAAAATCGTTTTCCAATCTACGTTTCGATCTCTCTCGTTCCGTCTACTAGCTCGTTCTACCGTATTTCCCTGTCAAATTAGGCAGAAACAAACAAGCCCTCCATGGGCCGTGGCTAACGAGCCCATAATCGCAGGAACACCTCGACCCCAAAGCACCCCGACGGCTACGCGCAACGTACGTACGCGTCACGCGTACACCTATACGCGTACATCTGTTTGTTCGTAGCTGGAGAGCAGAGCGTGGTGTGGGCGCGTTTCGGGAGCTAGAGGGAGTCATCAGGGCCCGAGGACAGACAGAAGCGGCAGGAAGGGCTGCTACAAATGGATTACGGAAGCACTGGATATTATAGCGATCCGAAAGGCCATCCGAGTTACTTAAATGTTTGCCGAGCTAACGACTTCGCGGCAGCCCGCGCCAGGTGTTGTTCCTGTTATACCTAATTATGCCGGTAAGCCACGAACGCAACAAATCGTGAGATCGGGTTCATTGAAAGACGCTCGGAACCGAGACCGCAAACTCCGCGATCGCTTCAAAGTCATCGACCGCAAGATTCACGGACGAACGAGCTTTCGATCTCTTCGCGATTCAACGACGCTACGATACGATACTGCTCGACGAGGAAACTCGTTTAACCCCTCTTCGAGGTTCAAGCAGCTCTCTCTCTCCGCGGTAGATTTCGACGAAACGCTACCTATTTTCGGATCTAGTTTCCGATCGAACAGCGAAGCGAGAGAAAAGAAATGTCTGGTAAGTAGCAAACACCGATCGTGACGCGATAAATCATCGAGGACATCGCCGTACCGAAGGGTCGTCTCCCCTCTTATCCGAGACACGAGCGGAAAATCTATTCGAACGACTATTAAGCATCGACTGTTCCCTCTTAAGGACGATCCTCTGTCGTCCTTAATTCGCGTTAGCCTCCTACCTAACCCTCGTTTATCTCGCGCGCGATATCGTTGTTATCTTTATCGAGAACCGATTTGTTCCCCATCGGCTCCCCCACGTCCGCTCGTTTTTTTCCCTAGCGAAATTCGAAAGATCGAAGCGTATCCGATATACCGAATAAACGAACCTCCGAGTGTTAATCCGAAACAACAGAGTCCTCCATCGAGTAAATTAACCGCGTAAATTAAAGCGGAATGACGGAGAAACGAAGCGAGACGCGATCAAACGCGGAGAAAAATCGTTTTCCAATCTACGTTTCGATCTCTCTCGTTCCGTCTACTAGCTCGTTCTACCGTATTTCCCTGTCAAATTAGGCAGAAACAAACAAGCCCTCCATGGGCCGTGGCTAACGAGCCCATAATCGCAGGAACACCTCGACCCCAAAGCACCCCGACGGCTACGCGCAACGTACGTACGCGTCACGCGTACACCTATACGCGTACATCTGTTTGTTCGTAGCTGGAGAGCAGAGCGTGGTGTGGGCGCGTTTCGGGAGCTAGAGGGAGTCATCAGGGCCCGAGGACAGACAGAAGCGGCAGGAAGGGCTGCTACAAATGGATTACGGAAGCACTGGATATTATAGCGATCCGAAAGGCCATCCGAGTTACTTAAATGTTTGCCGAGCTAACGACTTCGCGGCAGCCCGCGCCAGGTGTTGTTCCTGTTATACCTAATTATGCCGGTGGCACTTTTCCTCGTGGTCGAATCGCTGGCGACCAGCTCCGGTAAGACCGGAAGCCGTTTCCGCGCTCGATCCACGAAGATCGAAGATCCGAAGACCTAATCTATACCGAATCGCGGGGAATTCTATCGAATGCTCCGCTTCCCTGTCCGTCGTCTTTTCGTTCCCGAGAGCGTTCGTTCCCTCTGTCGTGTTTCGCGATCCGTGTACGTTCTCGCGTAACGTGCACGTTCAGCCTGCCGGTCGAGGCACGCGTGAGTGTATAATGTAGGTTGCTGGCACCTTGATGAAGGGTTCGCGTGACGAGTACCCTCTGTCTGCCGGTATCCTGTCTCGCTCTCCGCGCTGACCTGCTCGTCCACACCTTCTATTCTGCCCCGTTGCTTCGCGCTCCACGATCGCCTACTTAAACTTTGAAAAATATACTCGCGAACTCGACCTCCGACTATCCGAAACGCTTCCGAGCAAACTCGAGACGCGATCTCGACGCGCCGAACCTCCGTGGGCCGACCAGACCGAATCGCTTCGGAAGTTCAGGAATCGCGTTATCGACGCCAACCGCTCTTTCGTGTCCGCTGGCTTTCTCTCTTTTCGTCGGCGATAACGTCGTTCGGCTTTGCACGCACGAAATTGGCTTTGTTCGCGATATTGAAATCGTGGCCGTCGGGAGTAGGCAACACGAAGAAAGAAAGAAAGAAAGGGAAGAGAGAGAGAGAGAGAGAACTGGCGAGTGCCAACGTGGGAAAAAAGACCCCGTGAGTTAGTCCTCGAGGTAGAATCAGAGGAGTATACGGTGCTGGCACCCCGTAGGGCCAGACAATTCCACCTGATTGGTCCGAATTCGTATTGTCACTCGAGAGACTGACGTTTTCGTTCAGCTGGGATTTCGTGCCAAGTTTCTCGTGCTAACGACGCTATTCGTGCATCGCCACGTTCTTGATATATCGATCGTGCTCGGGAAGAACGTCAGCCACGGCGACACGCCCCGAAATTATTAGGAAATTTTTCTTTTTCTTTTTCTCCTCGAATCCCCGATTTCGTCGGACAACTCGACGACTCGCCGCTGTGCTTCCAACGATACCCTCGACAATCGGGCGAAACGCGAAACGGGAAGAGGAAAGAAGCAACGCGGTTGCGCGATTACGCGCGAGTCGGATCGATGACGCTTCGAGAACGGAAGAGAAGAGGAAATTTAACCGGGGACAGCGTTAGACGGGGCTCCCTCGCGTCCAAATATCATCGTAATTTCGACATGGTCACGCATCCTTAGAGCTCGCGCAGCTGCGGCCTCGACTTTATTAGCATAGCTATAAAAATGAAGGTGCACGCGCGCGCCCGCGTGTCGCGTATCCACGCAGAGGCACAAATTACCGCGATAAATTACACCGAAAGCTCCCTTAAATATCTCGTAAAACGCCAATCAATGAAATCCATTAGTTCGAGTACGCCGAGTCGAACCGTGCGCGTTCGTTCTTTTTCTCCTTCTTCCGTTTCTGTTCGACTCGTCGCAATTTACCGGTGACACGGCCTGTAAGGAGGGTTACGAACCACGAACAAGCTTTTATCGTACGGTAGACGGGGGTCAAAAGCAACGATTCGAATTTGAAATACGACTTTGGAATATCGTTAAGTCCGCTTTACGGCCTCGCGCAATTTCGAGAAATTGACTTGTAGCATCGAATTTATACAAATAGATCGTTGCGCGCGAGTAGAAATTTCGAGCCGAACTCGGGACGAAACGCGTACGAACGGAACCGAGTTCGATGTCTGTTCATAAATCGAAGTCGATCGCGATACGAAAGTTTCGCTTTACGAGATTCGAATGCTACTCGTAAAAGGCGATATTTCAGTGAAAGCACATATTTGTACGGTACATGCGCGGATTATGCGCCTCGGTCCCGACCGATTTCGAGCAGAATAGAGGAAAGTTCGCGACGAAAGAACGTTCCGAAGATGTTCGCGCAATCGGAACGGACAATGAGCGATATATGTTTTGAAATATTTAACCGGTTACTTTGAACCCCGGTCTACCCTAACCGTGACCCGCGCGTTCGAGCGGCGATAATTAACGACCGCCACGGTGAGAGAGAGAACTGGCGAGTGCCAACGTGGGAAAAAAGACCCCGTGAGTTAGTCCTCGAGGTAGAATCAGAGGAGTATACGGTGCTGGCACCCCGTAGGGCCAGACAATTCCACCTGATTGGTCCGAATTCGTATTGTCACTCGAGAGACTGACGTTTTCGTTCAGCTGGGATTTCGTGCCAAGTTTCTCGTGCTAACGACGCTATTCGTGCATCGCCACGTTCTTGATATATCGATCGTGCTCGGGAAGAACGTCAGCCACGGCGACACGCCCCGAAATTATTAGGAAATTTTTCTTTTTCTTTTTCTCCTCGAATCCCCGATTTCGTCGGACAACTCGACGACTCGCCGCTGTGCTTCCAACGATACCCTCGACAATCGGGCGAAACGCGAAACGGGAAGAGGAAAGAAGCAACGCGGTTGCGCGATTACGCGCGAGTCGGATCGATGACGCTTCGAGAACGGAAGAGAAGAGGAAATTTAACCGGGGACAGCGTTAGACGGGGCTCCCTCGCGTCCAAATATCATCGTAATTTCGACATGGTCACGCATCCTTAGAGCTCGCGCAGCTGCGGCCTCGACTTTATTAGCATAGCTATAAAAATGAAGGTGCACGCGCGCGCCCGCGTGTCGCGTATCCACGCAGAGGCACAAATTACCGCGATAAATTACACCGAAAGCTCCCTTAAATATCTCGTAAAACGCCAATCAATGAAATCCATTAGTTCGAGTACGCCGAGTCGAACCGTGCGCGTTCGTTCTTTTTCTCCTTCTTCCGTTTCTGTTCGACTCGTCGCAATTTACCGGTGACACGGCCTGTAAGGAGGGTTACGAACCACGAACAAGCTTTTATCGTACGGTAGACGGGGGTCAAAAGCAACGATTCGAATTTGAAATACGACTTTGGAATATCGTTAAGTCCGCTTTACGGCCTCGCGCAATTTCGAGAAATTGACTTGTAGCATCGAATTTATACAAATAGATCGTTGCGCGCGAGTAGAAATTTCGAGCCGAACTCGGGACGAAACGCGTACGAACGGAACCGAGTTCGATGTCTGTTCATAAATCGAAGTCGATCGCGATACGAAAGTTTCGCTTTACGAGATTCGAATGCTACTCGTAAAAGGCGATATTTCAGTGAAAGCACATATTTGTACGGTACATGCGCGGATTATGCGCCTCGGTCCCGACCGATTTCGAGCAGAATAGAGGAAAGTTCGCGACGAAAGAACGTTCCGAAGATGTTCGCGCAATCGGAACGGACAATGAGCGATATATGTTTTGAAATATTTAACCGGTTACTTTGAACCCCGGTCTACCCTAACCGTGACCCGCGCGTTCGAGCGGCGATAATTAACGACCGCCACGGTAATCGCAGCGGCGTAGCGGCGTAACGGCGGGTAATTACGGTCGAAAAAAGAATTCCCTTTTCCCGTTAGCGGGCGAACGCGTTTTTCGTTCGGCGCACCTTCCAATTCGTTTACACTTGGCAAATCGAGGCAATTATCGAAGCCGTAACTCGAACGAACGGAAAGCAATTTACCGTGGGACCTCCTCTCCTCGATCGTCGCTCGTATTCTCCCTCTTCTTCAAAAGCAAGAATCGTTTCCCCGAGCGCGAAACTCGCTCGGCTTCGCGACGAATTTCAGCGTATTCGGCCATCTTCCGTTCGCAGCTGCGCGCGCGCCACGCCACAGCACTCCGTAACACGCCACGCTCGCGAAAACCCACCGATACGACACGCCACTCACCTTCCCGTCTTCGTGATGATCATCTCGGTGCCGAGGTCGTTAAATTTGTCCCAGAGCTCCTTGGTCTCGAGGTGGCACTCGACGTCACGAAGCTCGTCGGAATTGCAGCTGGTCCTCAGCCGGTGCTTCCGTTCGTGCTCGCCGTAAGCGTCCTGGCACTTTCTCGCGGACGACGAGCTGCTCAGATCGTCCGGAAGACCGTGCACGGGACCGTCGTCGACGCTGCTGCACTCCTCCACGTCCACGTCCACTTCCTCGTCCTCCTCGTTGCCGGACTTGTCGGTAGCCTCGCTCTCGCCTTCGCAGTTCTCCACCTCGTCGTCGGCCAACAGCGCTTCCTCCGTCACCACCGTCGCCGTCGCGACAATGTTCACCGGGGATGTCCTTGCCCCTGAAACATCGTCGTCTGTTTTGCGTTTACTCGTCGCGTTGTCCCGTCCCGTTCGTTCGAGAAGGAAACGAAAGTAACGGGGCAGCTGGATGTTGACGTTGCTTCGAAAGTGACAAATAACCCCGGTAAATGGAGAAGATCGCTCGCGAAACGACGTTTCTTCGCGTCGACGGATTCGGAATCGAGCTACGAGTCGATTTAAACGAGCAAGATGAACCAAAACGATACGCGAGGGAGCCGAGAGAAGCAAGGCGGGGGTAATTAATCGAACCGGCCGCGCATCTGCTACGAAGGTGGCGCCTAATTAAACCGTCAGATTTCAAGAAAGCCAATCCACCGCGCCAGTGTACACAATGTTAATTGCACCAGTCACGATACCGATCTGTTAATTTGTACTATTCCGCGCGAACAATGCGTCTTCCGGCCTCGTATCTCAAATTGGATCCGCGGACTGATACCCCGTGTGCGTTTACGCACACTGTGTCGGGCGCGTGTCGTGGACACGGTTAAAAAATTTATTCTAATCCGGATCAAATTCTTTTCCTCTTTCCCCCGTTCTTTTTCCACCGTTCGTCGAGCGAACATTTATTATCGATGTAACGAAATTCGAATCGAAAGAAGCAACATGTAAGAGGTGGAAGCGATAGGTAACGATTACAGGGACGACGCGGAAGTAGAAGCGAACGGTAGCGAACCCAGTTGAAAACACGGTCATAAGGAACGCGAAGAGAAAGAAAGAAAAGGAACGATTCTGCCCCGTTAAGAGGATTGGCTGACGACCATCGCGACGAGAAGGCACCAATTTCGAAACGGTCACCACGTTCCAAAAGCATACGGCATACGGTATCGCGTCGCTCCAACTGTTTCGGAAACGTTTCGACTTACCGGCTAACGTTTTCTTCGATACGTTGCCTGCCTAAACCGGTTTTCCGTCAAATTTTCTACCGCGCGTTTGACAGCCACGACCGTCGACCGATCACTTTCACCGTTTTCGACTTACCGCTTCGTCGCGTCGACCTCTGTGCCTCGTCGCATACCCGCGAAACCACGGAGCCGACCGATTATCTTCCCGTCTTCGTAACGTATTTCGTCGACGAAAGCGAAATCCGTTCGAGTTTCCTAATTGTTCGACGTCGTTCGCTCGCGTAAATTAATAACGAGGATACTTTGTAATCTAATAAACGGTGAAAAAAAGAAACGGTGATCTTTTAATTATTTCGCTCGTGTAAGGAACGACGCGTTAACGATCTAAAACCAGTTAATGGTTTCCGGTCGATAGATACATCGAAAAGTCTGCTAATGGGTTTATCGAACGGCTACCGTGTACGCGTCAACTTCCTCGTTGACACATTTTTAACCTTCGCTGATCACCGAGTCTCGCTAGACACTCTCGGACCATACGTGCTCGACGAAATAAACATTCTATTTTCCTTTTCGATCGTTCCAACATTATTATCAACCTGTTAAGCACGTCCGATAACTGGTCATGCGGAAACTCGCGCGCGACTCTAGTTTGCCGAATAAACCGACTTATCGTCGAGAATTTTCACCTTTTAAAAGGAACAATCGTACGTCGAGTATGTACGACAGGAAGCTTTAGAGACTTTTCCTTCTTGTTACAGCGTGTTTACACGCGTGACGAGTCACCGGTGATCGGTTCATTACAAACGTTTATGCCGATAAACGTTCTTGTAAAGATAAGAGGGTTTACGCGTTAAAAAATTGCGGATGAAAAATCTCCTAACGAGTCTGGGGGAAATTTTCTCGCGAGAGGTTGGGGAACGATCGGAACGGCGACAACGACGATCGAAAAACGAAGCAAGAAAAAGAAAAGAGGGTATCCCGATGAACGAAGGAACGGGTAGCAGCAGTCGGCCGGTAAGAAGAGGAACAACGAGGACGCGTTAAAAACGAAGACGAGTTAACAGCGCATCGCGTGCGTCTCTGGTCGCTTGCGTGCACTCGCATCTGCGTGCACGTACGCACTCACGCACGACCTGGCACTTGTCGTACACTCGTACACGTATCCTTTTCCTCCGCCTCTGTGCCTTTCGTTTCTCGAAACCGCCTTAACAATAAGAAGGCGCGATTCTAAAGAGGAGTAAACGCGCGTGTTACGTTCGTATGCGTGCAACGACAGTGTTCTCGCGTAGCAGATGAAATTCGACGATTTCCTTATTGAGCCATCAAGCGCAGGACTGGTTTCGCGAAACAGCCGGTCGACGACGCGGACACCGGACGGTGCGAGCATCGGGGAAAGCCTGCTGTTAAAATTAACACCTCTTGCGTGCGCGTGTTGCTCCGTGTCGCGACCGTTCGCGGTTTTTCTTTCCGACTGTATCGGAGAATCAGGAACGCGCGATTGTCCGAGAAACGCAAGAGGCAGCAGCGACCGGGAGATTTCTCGAAAACCGCTGGTAATGGCCACGTACGCGATCGAACGAACGCAACAACGACCTTCCACGTTCTCGAAGCGTGTGCGCGCGCGAGCGTTAATAAGGTTGTATAACGGCACGACACGCGACGCGTTGCATCGTTGCTAGAATTCAAGTACGCTCGATTGCCGGATGAATCGGGGATATTTACGACGTTACGTGATCGAATCTAGAGCGGTAGCTTCCATAAAACCGGAAGCGTGGCCGGCTAAGAGCTCGAGTGGACAACGTGGGTCTTTTAAGTATCCCGAAGGGGATCGAAATATTTGCAGGCCGCACAAAAGAAGATCCGTGAGGACGCATGCCTTACCGGAAGCTTTCCGGGCCAACAGAAGGAGTTAAAGCTTTGGGCGGTGGTGTGCCACGAGGTGGTCCCATGTTCCATGATCTTAAGGCAAGAAGAAATATGACCGAGCTACTGACGTCAGTTTCCTTTTGCCACGACCGACAGCCGACCACCCAGAATCCTGTCACCACCCAGCCGTTCGAAGGACGTTGCTCAAAAGGATCGAGACGCTACGAGCCGAATAACGATCGCGTTACACGAGTTGACGCGCTTCTTCTCTCTCTATAGAGAACAGATTCTCCCTCGCCAACCGCTCTGCTCGGACAAATGCGAGCGAGATTACGCGGAACCAGATTACCCGAGAGGATCGAATCGAATCGAATCGAATTCGAACGACCTTCGACAAGGATTTGTCGACCAACCGAGCTTCATTGTTGCGTTGCCGAGTAGCTCGAGTCCGATGGACCCTTTTAACGTTCGGACGTCGCGATATTTTGCTAGTCGCGCTAGAGAAGATGGTGCAAATTTACAATTAAACGGGTCAAGTTAGATTTGTCGCGTTTTAATGTATCGTAAGTTACGTGACGGTATTAAAAGACATACGAACGACGAAAGAAACAACGCTCGAACGTAGCTGCTCCATTTTTCACGCGGTAACGAGATCAAGAATCTGGTCGAATTAAGAGGGTCGTTAGAGCGATACGAAGTAACGCGAACTGTCGAACGGTTTCTCGAGAATTATTTGAAAAGTACGCTTCGAAAGGGGATTCGTCGATAACATTCCTCGTCACTACAGGTGGTAATACCACCTGAAATTCACTCCAGAATATTCGAACGATGCGGCATAAAATCTAGTCCAGACCTACATACCTACTTTTGTCCGTGAGCACGCAAATAAATGTTTAAGCGCTGTAATATACAAAGCCGAGTTACGCTATCGAATAAATGTTTCTACAAGAGAAACTATTCGCGTACAGTTTTTCCACTATTTTTAAACGTCCGTTTGAATATTTGCGGGCATAGTACGTAGGTCCGATTTAGTCGGTAAAATCGGCGTTATCGCTTCTATAATTGTTCGGTCGAATAAAGGCTGGTTCGTTCGATCTCGAATCGCGTAAACGTCGAGACGCGATCGTTTGGCGAATTTCCGTGTCCAAACGACTCTCGGCCGATACTCGATAAAGATGGAAAGAAAATCGTCGGCGATTTTTATCGTTGACCGTGTTATTAATGTAAATTCTTCGGATCGTTATTGGACGGCACGGTGGACGTAACGCGTTCGCGAAACAATCACCGCGGACGCGGCCAATAAGGATCCTATGAATCTAATTGAGGCTGTGGTATTTAATGTTTTCCACCTCGCCCACTCTACGCGGCGAAACTTGTTCTCGAGAACGATTAAGAATCCCGAGATTGCTACGGGAGCTGTAATGGCGTCGTTAAGTGCGCTAATGTGATTACCGGCTGAAAGCACCGGACGAGTTCCCGAACGCAAAAACACCGGGCAATTTACGTTCCCTCGTAGAAAAATCGTTCGTTCGTGAGAAAGATACTTTTTCGTCCGAAAATGAACGCGAACGTTGCATCGCGTCCGGTAATTTAGTCCTATTTCGCTCCGAGACGGTCACTCGTTGGCGTTGGATCATTATTTTTAAGAGGAACGATCACTCTTTTTCTCGTCGATATTCCGCAACGAGTTTGACGCAAGCAACCGGCCGACTAAACGAGGAGAATCGAGCCACGGGACGCGGTCTCCTAGATAGCCTCGATCGTTAATTTCGCCGCGAACAGGTAAAATTTACGCGGCATCCGTTGGCAACAATTAGTCGGTCTGCTCCCGTTTCGGACGCCAATTATCATCTTAACCCGGGCCAAATGTCTTTCTCGAGCATGCGGCTACTATTTTCACGCGTCGCCTAATGTATCACGAATTTGTAATTAAACGGACAGCGGCCAGTCAACGCCTCGACTAATGGATCTCGACTACCAAACTACTACTACACGGAACCAAGGATTTAACCCGCTACAAACGAGCCGAACGTTCAACGAAATTCAGATCCCGAAACAGCCGGGATCGAGTTCTCTTCCGACAGTATACCGTCGGACGTCGGATAGAAAACGGTTCACGGCGAATTACCGAGAGACCACCGAAACGTCGTTCCTCGAGAGATGATCGAATTCCGAGAAGGAGAACCGTCCTTACCGAGAAGCGGGATTTTCGAGGGTTTTATAGTCGGTACTTTCGACGCACGACGTCGCGCCGTCGGAACTATCCGATACGTTTCGCGCGAGTAATCGTTCGCGCGCAAGAATCGCGACATCACTCGCGTCGGGAAAAATCGTAGGAGCTCGTCGTTCGCGACCGAAGCGTTCGAATCGAGGTATAGAGGGACACGCGCGATAAAGGCGGAGAAAGGAGAGAAATCGGAGGAAACTTACGGTGATCGAGAGCGGAATCGGCGACGAACGCTTTGCCTGTTGGACATTCCAAGCTGGTATTAGCGGTAGCGGCGGCGTTGCCAATGCCCTGCAGGTGGTAATGCCCGAAGGACGGACCCCTGGGCGCCATGATGGCCGCGATGCTGAAGTCCGTCGCTTTTCCCCTTTCCCCCTTCGTAGGCATCCCTTCACGGCCGACGACACTTTGATTTCTACTTTATTCTCTTCTTCCCTGCTTTTCTCCGATTCGAAGCGTCGCGTTCTCTTTGCTCGTGAACGCGATCCACTTTTCGTTTCGTTCTCCCGATGATCGCGCGACGCGACGTTATCACTAGTCTCACTCGCGACGAGACCCGTTACAGCTCCGTCGGTTGGCTCGTTTCGTCAACGGATCCCCGAGAGATCGTCGACGACGCGACGAGCGAGCACCACCGCGGTCGCGCTTCCCATCGACCGTTCCGTGTCGCGATATCGTAACGCGTCGAGGCGCGAAAATCGAACGTTCCGAGGAGCGCGCGATCGAATCGGCGTCGTAAACGGGATGCTGCTCCGAAACGTAGAACGAGGATCGGTTCGGCTGGACGCGACGCGAAACGAACGCGTCTGCGCTGCTCGACTTCCCGAACTCCACTGGGCCGCCGCTCCTCCTCCCACGCGCACCGCTCGCCCCACCAAGCGAACAACGGCAACGACGCTCTAGCTCGGCCGCTCGCG